AACAGTAAAATATTCATAGCACTGATTTAATGGCATTTCTCTTGCGTTACGCCGTGAACTCTGCTCCATATAAACAAGATAAAAAGGAGCTCTTTTGTCAATACCAACGTTGCCTCAGATGTGTGCAGCGGTCTTATCAGGAGCGGTTGCTAAATCAGTGTATTGATATCATTTTGCTGCTGTCCTCCTCCTAATTATGAAGGTCAGATGAAGGATCCAAGCCGTACCAAGCAAACTGGCCACTATGGAGAGTAATCCAGTTCCTGCTCCGATCTCCAGCACCGCCTTATCCAACAGGTCCACTTGTCTCTGGTTGTTCTCCAGGAACTGGCACAACGCCACAGCCTTTAGAACAGAGCCTTAATGTTACACCAGACACAAACAGAGTCAGTCACATCAGTGACGTTAACGTTGAACGTACCCCAGGCCAGATCAGAGCACCGTAAGCATCCACAGACTCTCGGATGCTGATTTCGTGACCAGCAAAACAAAATGTCTCCTTTTCTAGTGAACAGGAAACACTGGGTGCCACTATGTTCCCTCTGTCTGGAGCTTCTCTGACCATCACTTTCTGATCTATCTGATCTGTAAAGAAATATACCTGTTACTGTAGCTCTGCTACTACTCTAGATTAAAGAGTAGTAAAAAAAAGAAGATAAGAATCCTTACCCTGACATGCCTCATTACTTTTCTGTGCTGCTTCTGTATTTGTTTGTACCTTCATGTTCTGCTTCCTTTTCTTCAAATGTTCACAGTTATGTGGGACTGATTGGCCATCTTCAGATAACGTCTCCATTGGTGCTACAAAAAAAAAAACAATGAACAAACAAACAAGAGACCCAATGAGAACATCATTATACTGTAGTTTCTGCCTTTACCATTTTATCTTGAGTAAATGAACTCAAACCATGAGTATGGAGATTATCCTTTAAACTTTTTCTAATTAGTCATTACATACATGTCTTATTCTTACCTGTTTGATGCTCGGTCTGCGATCCTGCCCTGCTCACATCTCTGAGGTGTTGTGGTCTTTATAGAAGCTGCTACATCTGTGACCCACCCCTGAATGATCCCCTAATCTCTAGGGTCACTGGCAGCAGCCAACAGATGGATTTGTAAAGTCTGACAGAGTGGGGAGCCTAATCCGGACCACTCCTCTAAATGTCCTCCTCTTTGTAGCTGCAAAAACCACACACTTATTTTATTTCCTACTTCAATCCTCGATAAAGTCCAATATCAATGTCAATGTCCTTTTTGTCATGTGATACAGTATTCCAGTATTTCAGCACGGTGTAATGGATTTATAAAGATACGTACTCTTAGCAACCACTTTATCAGTTAAACTTTTTTAGCCCAGACATCCTATTGTCCAATAACTTGAAAAAGAAAGACCAAACATAAGCAACATGGAAACAATCTTGAACTGATTTTAAATCTGTCAACACCTACTGGAAAAACATGCACTGAATCCCTTAATTAAACCGCAGGGGTTCGACTGTTGTCTCTAACAACACTGTCAACGCTTGTTAAGTGTTTATTATATCCTGCTTTGTTGATATAGTTGATCCAGCAGCTATAATTACAGCCTGTCAAATATAGCACAAGTTAAATGCAGCCATGGCAGCAGCCACCAGAGTGGAGTCATTCTGTTTATTTTAGGACCCTGTTAAGGAGAGCATACTGTAGGCAACTACAAAAAAAGAATGGTTCATTAGATGTAAATATTAGCAACTACAACAAAAAAGTGACACATGAAAATTATATTTTATTCGAAGAAGAAAATTACCATAATATATATTTTTATAACAGTAGGGGCAGTGGTGGCTCAGTGGTTAAGGAAGCAGACATGGGTACGGAAGGTTTCAGGTTCAAATCCACCAGCTGCTAAGTTACCACTGAGGTGACACCATCCCCACACGCTGCTCCCCGGGCAGCTTAAAGCTGCCCACTTTGGTGACTTTTAAGCCCTCATGTACTTCTCTGCCACTCCTCAATTCTCCATGAATTTCCTCTTATGACATTGTGCAACGTATTTACCCTAAAAAAACAGAGACACACACTTGAAGTTTTTTATCATCTACAAGTAACCAGTAATCACACATCAGAAGTTTTTTATCGTCTACAAGTAACCAGTAATCACACATCAAGTTTCAGTGCTTCAAATCTTTCATGACCAAAGTCAATTATTTACCACCAGCCCTTGAACATAACATTGACTGTGTGAAAGACAGTCTACTTTCTCTTGTCAATAGTCTAGCCATGCTCACAGTAGCATTAAGTGCATCACAGCCTTCAACATTACACAGGCTTTGCACCTATTAAGTGACCTGTTGACATGCGGCTACTGAAAAGCCTGTCAGCGACTCACATGCTGCAGGGCGTGACTCTCAGCTCATCATGTCGCTGGCTGTTCCAAAACTATAAGTGAAATGCCTTGAAAATGTCCTCTGTAAACTTAGATGGACCTCAGTTTGGATTCAGCAGGGGATGTTGTATGAAATAAAAAAAAATAAAAAATTCCACTGGGCCTAGTTCCATGTTAGTGAATTCTAGGTTACTGCACACTTGTTATTTGCTGAATTGGTGGCCTCGGTTATTCATGGAAGGGGTTTGTGAAGTAATTGGATTTTGCTGAAATCATTTACAAAGCTGGAGCTTCATTCTACAGCTTCTTCAGTATAAAAGAACCTGAACAAGAGAGGGATTCTGGATAGAGACCACTTTAAAGCTTCAGTTATTAATTCTCAATTATTTGATGACTCGTTTGTCTGTTTTTGTCAAATTACTTACAATATTTTCTGTTGAATTGTAGCTTCTCATCAATTTTCCAATATAGTAATGCATTGTTTGCAACCCTGGGCCTAGAGAACTGGCAAAAACGGTACAAACAGGTTTTTGACAACAACCTGGAAAAGTTTCAGAGATGAGATCAAACTGATCAGATGAAAGAATGACATGGATTGATCCTGACGTGACGTGATCTTCTGAGAAAATAACTTTGAACTTTGATCCCTGTGGATTTTCCCTTTGGTTTACTCCCAGGAAAAATGTCTGTTTACTGGGTTTAAGAGATCACGGTGGGATTTTCATTTCCAGTCGAACACCGACGACATCCACTGGTGACTCTGTTACCACATCCTATTTTTAGATGCTGCGTATAATCAGATCATGCTTACGTTTGATCAAGAGACAGTAACTGTCCCCAAATCTTGATGATTGACAGGTGGACATGGTGTGGACATCAACCATCCACAGTGACTCAACACTGCTGCTGCTGCTGCTGCTGCTGCTGCTGTTGCTGCTGCTCATCTGTCACTTCAAGTCATTTAAGTTGAGGCAGCACAAGCAGTTGTTTGATGGCATGTGTGTGTGTGTGTGTGTATCTGGAAGTGTGTGTGAGCCAGTGTCCCCCCAGCTAAAGCCCTGCAGCCTGGCTCCTAAGCCAAAATGAAAACCTCGGTCTCCAAGTTCCAGTCGTAAACTTTTCACAGGCAGCTGGACTCTGGTCGCCGCTGGTTTGAAAACAGTGTTTATGTCACTGCTGCTAATAGCACCGACACATAGCCGCACTAATCTTCATTCATTGTCATGGAGCTGCAGTCACAGGAATGCATGGACGGACTTCAGAATCACACTGTTTGGACTGCTAATAAAAGACATTTCATGTACGTCTTTAGGCGTTAAATCATGACCCAAACACTCTGAGGATTACACTCTCACTGATTATGCAACAAAAATGATATATAAGAAAGAAAGTAAAAACCAGTAAAACAATATTTTAAAAGGAATGTTAGCAAACATAATTTAAATTAGTAAGTTAGCCGGGATGCTATAGCTAGTCATATCATGGGTGTTGTGTGGTCTGTCCATCTCCTTTCCCTGTAGTCTGTCGTTCTTAGTTGATTGGCGTCATCACACTCACCTGTCTCCTTCGCTAGTCTCACCCGTATCACCTGGTTCCCTGTGTTTAAACACCTCCCTGCTGCTAGTCCTAGTTGAGTTATTGTCGCTGCCGGTCAGTGGTTCATGCTCTGTGTTCAGTTTGTTTTATGTTAGTGTCCTGTGTTCCTGCCTGGTCCAGTAAGTGGATGTATTTAAGTTTGGACTTTTCTGTTAATGACCTTCCTTTCAACTGATCTTTGTCTCTTGAGCGCTGCAATTGGCTCCTGTCTGTTTTGTAACAGGTATAGCATAGCAACAACAGCTAGCAGCTAACAGCTAACAAATGGTTTGTCCCTGAGCCAGGAATGGCCAAGTCAGGTTAAGATTTTGCCTGTAATAATTACTGATTCACAAAATAATAATAAAAAAACAACAACAAAACTTTGTCTAAAGGCCTTTACAAAATTATCCAGATTATATGCTTAAATTAGCAAAATAGCTAGCCTAAAGTTAGTCCAAAAGATTTTCTGTTTGCAAAACTAGTTTAAGGGTTACAAATAACAAGTAGTAATGAAAGAAATACCATGTTGACCCAGAAGTAGTTTAAAGTAAAGAAATTATTAGCTAAAAATGAACCCAAACTACCAGAAGCTAACTAACGGTTAGTACAGCACTGAGGACTGTAGGAGCTCGTACTGTCCTGTGTGTTACTCTTCACATTCAACTCTTTGTATTTGTATTTAAATTATTAGACAATATTGACTGTTAGATATTAAAGAGTTGGTGACAATCCTCCCTTCATCCACTGCGGTGGCTGCTGGTTTTCAAAGAACAATGCCTGGATTTATCAGGTTCAGTCTAAACACGACAGAGCCCTAAAATAGTTTTACACAAATGATCCTCTGGCTTTTGTGACAGCGGCACAGCTGCTGGCTGTATTTGAATCTGCTGAAAACTCGCCTCAAGAAGCTTTTCTTCTGTGGTTGATGGAGCAGGAACAACAGCAGGTGCAGAACAGAGAAGAGGAAGGTGATGGTGAACATGGCAACGATAAGAGATGTCTGTTAGATGAGAACAACACCGATGTGCGCCCATCTGCCATGGCTCAGAGGAAACAACACCACCATACATTTATAGTGAACAATAAGCATTGATGCAGATCATGTAGAGCAGAGAATGTATTTTCCAGAAGCTCCCGGAAGCAAAATCAAAGAGCAAAAACTGAACTTTGCATTTTTGTCATCAATGATATTAGTAATTAGTTGCCAGACACCTGCATCGACAGAGTCAAACATAGCTAGAATTGTGCTTAATGTTCATGCTCATGATTTTGTTCTTTTCTTTCGCATGCAAGTGAATAACTTCAAACTAGACCCAGTAGGTGGCAGTAATTATTCACTATTTCAAATATTGATGTTTGTGCAGGGGACCATTAACTATTTCAAATATTGATGTTTGTGCAGAAGTATCAGAACAAATATGTAGTACTTCTCATGAATGTTTTATATAGTACAAGCTTTGAGTTGAAGGGTTTGATAGAAATTTAAAAAAAATCATATTCATAAATCAAGAAGATGGCTTCTAAATGTGTACTTAGCTCTTTTGGTTCACTGAAGAACTGGTAACACTTTCCCTCCAATACCAGAGCCTGACAAGAGCTTCACCCTGCGGTCAAAATGTAGTCTGACAAACGAGCGACGATAATTTAATTATTATTATTTTGTTTGTTTTATACAGAGAAACAGGCCCACTTTGACTGGTCGTGTAGTCCTGAATTTGTTTCTGAAAATTATTTTTATAGTCAAAATGAAACGAATTTAAAAAATTTATTTTTATATATATTTATAAAATATATTTTCAAATGAATTCAATCGAATTTCCACTGCATCATTGGCTAATTTTAAAACATGCTAGCTTTCCATAAAGTTGGTTACCTTGTAACATTAAGCCATTCGGAAGCTATTAATGTTTATGACAGGATTCATTTATATCAGTATGACCTTTTTTGCTTTTGGTTATATCTGCATTTTCTTTAATGCTATAATTTGTATATGTATGTAACTTACTATTTAACGATTTGCTAATGCCTTTGTTAAGTTATTACTACATTTTATATAGTTTGCATTTGAAATATTTTTAATTTAATTTCCCCCTATGTTTTTCTCAAATGATACATTTGTTAAAGTTGACCAATTTTCACTTTTTTTAATCAAAAATTGTTTTTTGGATCTAGTTGCCTCTTACTTCTTGATTTTGTCCAATCCTTTGTGTCGCTTACATTAGGGTAGAGCTCCTCCTGCTGGTCCCAGTCATCCTGTGCTTCTTTTACTTCCAGATCAGGAAACTGCATGGACGGCACCATAGGTTCTTCATTTGGGAAAAGATTACTCGATGGTGTCCCAGCACTTGACCTTCTACCATGGAAGCAGAGTCTGGCATGAGTATTTTTTAATTTTTTTTAAACTGTCTGTATCATCTTGGGTGTCTGGTTTTTTTTTAAACTGTCTGGTCTAATGTAGTCACTGTCCAGATTTTTAACTGTCTGTATCATCTTGGGTGTCTGGTCTAATGTAGTCACTGTCCAGTGGTTCATATTTTCAGCATTGATTCCCTCCTTGTCTATGGGCCTCTTAATGTCCTGGTACTGAAACTCTGTATTAAACATAGGAAACTCCTGTGACTCTGCTTGATCTTCTGTCTCCATCCTGGAGACTCTTCAGACTCTTCTCTGACCTCTGGGTCTACTTCTACCTCTGGTTCTTCTTTAACCTCTGACTCCACAATGACATTCTGTTCTATGTTAGCCCCTGGTTCCACCTTGACATCTTTGTAGTTTTTTATTTTCTTGCTGCTTCTAAGTTGACCTTTACCCTTTGGAACCTCCACCACTTGTGGTGCAGGAACCTGTTCTCCCAGCAGAGGGCTCTGGTTCTCTTTGGTCATCCAGGATTTGTAGGCAGAGGAGTCACTGCAGGAGTAAAGATGGAGAGAGAGGCTTAATATTACAGCAATTTATATTTGTATTGTTGTTGTATTGTACATACTATATTGAGGCAGTAACACTGCTTTAGAGAATGGTCATTAATACCATCTATACTGTACTGTGTACTCAAGTCATATTTGGACATTTTGTTTAATTTTACATTTCTATACATAAACTACTTTTCATTTTTCAAAAATTGTATTTATGCAGGTAGAGTTGTCACGGGACGTGACATCATCAAAAATGTCTTTGCTCTTACTCTTGTCTGCAGATATGATTTAATATGACATGACCATAAACTGACCCGCTCATTCACGCTCACATTCACACCTGTGGTCACTTAAGAAAATGTAAATATTTCAATAGTCGACGTATAGATTTGGACTTCACCAAGAATTGCAGGAAAAAAACACGACAAATGTAAATCCTCAGAGAAAGGTCATAGGTCGAGCTGGCACTTGAACCACCGACCTTCTTGCTGTGAGGGTTAAGAGATCAGTCCACCTAGAAAACCCTTTGTTGCTGAGTAATGCTATCAACAACAACTGATTCCAAAGAGGGTCCAACGATTCAGCTCAAATCAAAAATCTTCCTCAGCAACAAAGAATTCTGTCAGTGTAACGTGAGCAGTTGTCAGTGTGAAACATGTCAGTTGGACTCGGTGCGCTGCTTGTGTTGTGATTTATGTGAGTGTGTGTCTTCAGAGTGTGTGACATGACATGAGTGTGTCCCGGTCAGAGCGCAGCAGCTGCCCCTGTTGATAGAGAACAGGTGCTGCAGCAGAGATTTGACCGCCTCGGTGTGTGTGTGTGTGTGTGTGTGTGTGTGTGTCGCTCTCTCTCATTCCCCGCTGTGAGTTAATGCACACGTACTTCTTTGTGTCCATGTGCATATGGGCCCCAAGTGCACGCAAGTGTGCACATTAACCCCGCAGCCGGTGACAATGTGCTGTTGTGTGGCCGCTACAGGCGGGAAACCTAATAGTCAAGGACACAGTAGCTACAGGCTGCAGCTGTTTCATCTCTGCTCCTCAGGTTACACCCTGCACTGAGGAGGGGGGGGGGGCAGGAGCCACTCTCAAAACTCTTTGTAAAATTATTTTTGAACAACAGCCAATATGGAGGACTGTTAAAAGAAACGTATGGATGAAAAAAGTCAATGTAAATGTGCCTGTTGCTTTAACATGCAGTAAATATTAATATAAAACCAAATGAACCTCTATGACCACATTAACTGCTTTTTTAAAAATTAAAAATAAAAAAAAAAAATAGTCCGTAAATAAGTAAGTCACGCACAGCTAGTAGCTAGTTGGTGTAGTTACCTGGTGCACGAACTGATCAGCTAAAAGTACAAAAACAAGACTTCCACAAATTGATTAGTATTACGGTCATGTGCTGTGTGAGTGAGCTAAGCCAGAGGTTGATCACAGCAGGACAGGCTGACCTGTGGGTCGGGGACCACGAATGTTACACGTTTGATACACAAACCACATATTTGACAACTCTAAGCCTACACCTGCTGTTGGAAGTTAAAGTTAACAACTTAAAATTCCCTAAAGCTCCTGCACAGATGCTGCCAGCTGTTGCTGAAGACCGGTGTGTTTTCTTAATCATCTGCCACCTTGTGGTCAGTTTTTGGTAGCAAATATAATAAAAATATAGTCCTTACCACAAAAAATAGAATACAGCAAGGAGGCAGAGACACTATTAAATATGGTAATATATATTTTTGTATATTAACCTTAATGGTTAGAAAATTGCATGATTATCGATTAACCATGATTAAACATGATTAATATATTATTCATAATGGAATGGAAACCACTTTTTTTTTTTGCTCTTGAACTTCTCCGCTCTCTTCTCCCGTGTGTACGCGCTCCCGTCAGCTGCCTCGGCCGCGTGAACGCGCGCGTGCATGTTGCAGCTCCTGCAGCTGCAGCTGAGCTCAGTCAGAGGTGGAGGAGCTGCAGACTGACTTTGAGGCACAACACTTGATTCCAGCAGGACTCTCTCTCACAGACACACGCACACACAGAGAGACTTTATCAGAGAGAAGATGACGATGTGGCTGCTGCCCCTGATTCTCATCCCTTTACTGCACAGTGAGTTCCTCTCGTTCCTACAAGAATTTACTGCAGTATGGTACAGATCAATTAGTTTTCAACGTTATCAAAGTGAAAACTTGTAGTTGTTGTGTAGTGAAAAAGTATGAATTGTACTGTCGGGATGCGTGTACTCTTTTTCTTCTTTCAAATGTTTGCATTGGTGTTATTTTAATATTGGTATTTCCGTTGTGTGCACTGATATTTAAACGAAAGAAAAAGAGTAATTCGTGCAACAGCGATCGTAGGCTGGTAAGGGATCGTGTAAAAGTTTCAGAGCGATTTGGTAAATCTTTAGATTTAGTTAAAACATTTTTTAAAAATATTTTAATCAGACCCTAATGTTAAAGACTGCAAAACCTCATGATTTTTATTCAAAATAAAGTACGATTTATCGGTATGGGAATAATTTTTTTTTTTTACATATTTTATTTAAGGACTTAAGGAGGAGAGGTTTGCAGAAGTAGGCATTGGATTGCAATAGGATGTTACTAGATTTTTAGCACAACTCATTTTCCATTGTTTTGTTTACTCTAATTGTACTTGTGCTAACTGAAGCTATGTTCTTGGTTAATTTTAAGCCTATTCTAATCCAAAATTATTAGGAAGTCTTGATTTACTTAATATTAGTTATTTGACCCATTTCACGCTATCATTGAGAAACATTGACTTTTTATTATTATCTTTAATAAATTTGGTCTGTTTTATTTAACCTTTATGACAATTTTGGCTTTTAAAGCATTTAGTTGTATCATGATAATGTTTTGGTTGTATTTTGTCAAAATTAGCTGTATTATTCTCAGTTTGTGCTAACTCCTTATGTTAACTAACATTGAACTAGTTGTTTTTTTCTGTCTCTTTAAGTTTCCTGATTTAATTATTTTCTACGTGTTAACTTTGAGCAAACTTAGCAAACATCTGTTTTTAATTTCTGGATACTTCTTCCCTGCACAAATGTTGGAGGTGCCACAGAGGCCTTTTTTTAATGCATTTGTGCTTCTACTAACTTTTTGACTAAGGCTAATATTTTATAATCGTTCTCTTGTAATAATTAGATTTCTGAATATCTCTGGAAAAGGTTCTCCTAAATAACTTTTAGAAGTTCTAAGTGTTCAAAGTTTACGCTCATCCATCCTAACTGGAAGGGTAAAGGCTGTGTGACCTCTCACTAAGACTAGAAGGAGGAGGAGGAGGAGGAGGAGGAGGTGTGTATTCCTCTGTGGGCCGTCGTCATCGTCAGATATTGTCCAGGGAGTGTTTGTAGTCGAGCTGCATGTTTACACTGAATCTGCCCTGATGCTGTTTGAACCTCAGATCTGCAGAATGATGAGACACATCACATGTTCTGACGGAAGGGTTTGAGGTTTGCAGTTTGATGATAGCCCCTAACTGACCCTGCTGTTATCTACAACCTACATTTGATGTTTGAGGAATTTCAAGGGACTCGTTTTCACCAAACACACATGAAAGGAGCGAGACTTTTTTCACTATCGATGAAAAAAAACGTGTTTTTACCCAGGAGAATGTGACTAAATGATCAACCCTGTTGTGTAGACTGTGATAGAATTATACAATTTTCCTCCATTATAAAAGTGAGAAATGGACTTTTAGCGTGTTTCCTTTGTCTCAGGAACAAATATAAATTTTTAAAATTTCTTAATCATTTAATTTTTAACTTATGGTTAATGTGGATATACCTTTGTAACTTTTGCTGTTTTTTATTTTTTTCTCACTTTTTTAGGTATTTGTTGGCTAGTATTAAGTTGTAATTCTTAAGGTAAAATTAATCATATCTTTAAATGATCTTTTAACTTTTAGCTGTTATAATTAACTATTTGTGATGTAGCTTTAGTTGATTATTGGCTATTTTTAGCTGTTTTTTTTATTCCTCTTAACCTTTGCTTAGCTACATTTGATTTTATGTTTTTTTCTACAATGTTTTTTCTATTGTAACAATATTTTTACAGAGACGTTAAAGTGTTTCTTGTAGTTCTGACTCTGGACTACAGCGACCACTGTGTGTTTGAAATGTGTCTGTTGTGATGAGATAACTGTGGTCGAGTCTGAGTTAGGTTTGGGTTTAACAGAAGGTCAGTGTGAAGAATATGATGCAGAGGGACTCATGTTAATGTTGTCATCAGTGAAGATCAGCACAAGTGTTTTACACCCGTGTGTGTGTGTGTGTGTGTGTGTGTGTGTGTGTGTGTTTGGTGATGCCAGCTGAGCTGGGTAAAGTTACTGCCATGAAGAGCTGCTTTGTATTAGAAACACAAACATGCTCTCCACACGCATGTGTGACACATGCACATAACACACACACACACACACACACACATTTACACACACACACTGACACACACTGACACACAGACACGTGTGCACCGGAGGTTCTCCTAAATCGTTTTTTCCTCCGTCCTGAAACGATTAAAGTTTTTCTTTGGAATTGATTTGAAAATGAATATTAAAGAGTGTGTGTGCATGAGTGTGTGTGGACACGCACACATGTCTATTGTAGGGATCCATCACAATCAGAGGTTATCAGGTTGGAGTAAAGCAGCTCGTGGGGGAGTCATCAATCACTTACATTCCTACACACCACCGCTCCTGGTACCACTGGGATAAAGACGACTATGTGTGTGTGTGTGTATGTGTGTGTGTTCAATGTGTTGTGAGTTTCAAACCATCTTTGTTGGAAACATTCTCACTTACTTGCAGATCAGACGGTATGAAAATAATGTGGTTTTCAGTTAGTCTCTCCAAAACAAAAACCAAATGACTGGAGCGAGACTTGGTGGATGTTGCTCATTTTCCTGGTTGTAACTCCAGTGAAGCTGTGTTGCTGATCATTAGGAGTACACAGTGCCACTTCAAATAGAAAGAGAGTTCCTTCATTGTCTCAGAGGAAGTGGCAGGTAAACACTTGTGTTTGTTGTGTTAAATAACGGTGTGTTCCACTTCCTTTCATCCCAACAGGTCCTGTTTGTCTGTCAGTGACTGTGAGCAGCACCACACCTACAGTAGAGGTTCACGAGCACACAGGTGAGATGATGGAGAAAAAGATCGTCGAAGTTGGATGTGTTTGTGCTAGAAAAGTATTACAGTAACACGTCCAGTACTGATGTCGGACTCCCTGTTCTCACAGATGCCACTCTGACATGTGAGTTTAAGACTGAGAAGGACCAGAACCCTCGGATTGAGTGGAAGAAGAAAGGAAAGGGAGTGACGTTTGTCTACTTCAATCACAAATTTACTGGGTGTACCTCCTGCTGACCAAGAATGACGCACGTTTTCATCCGTTTCATCAATCGTCTCTGTTTGATTAATTGCTTGATTTTTCCCAGGTCCTTATGTGGGACGGGCCAAGATAGACGGAGCGACACTGACGATACATTCAGTGACTCAGAAAGACTCCGGAGAATATCGCTGTGAGGTCACCGCCAGTGAAGACCATGTCAACCTGGGGGAGACCACTGTCACACTAGATGTGCTGGGTACGTGTTAAGGAGTGAGGGGTTGAATATGCACAAAACTAACAAACTGTTTGGTTGATTGGCTGACCAGCCACATAACAACATTACCAAATAGTCAGTCAGTCAACCAGCCAACAAAAGAGAGGCAAACACTCCATCAAACGTTACAAATTACCAATCAACTAGCAAACCAAGATTTGAGTCAGCAACAGAAAACAACCAACTGAGCAGCCCAACTGATAACCAACTGGTAACTAAACACTCGTGCATTGTGACAGTTTAACATGGCCAGGAAATGCATTGTTTGACTTCATTGTGACAGTTTAACATGGCCAGGAAGTTGACTTGAGAAAACACTGCGTTCGTTGTAAAGACTGTGACCTTTGACCTCTCAGTGCCTCCACATGTACCGTCCTGTGAGGTACCCAGCTCTGTGTTCGTGGGCTCAGACCTGGAGCTTCTCTGTAAGGACAAGCTGAGCATCCCTCCTGCCACCTACCGCTGGTACAAGGACAACAAGGCTCTGATGGCCTCAGCAGACGCTGCGTTCAGCATCGACACCAACAAGGGGATACTGGTGAGGAGCAAAAAACTAACAATACTGTTAGTATTGATCTTCAATATTTTTTATACTCTTTTTTTACTCTCTCACCTCTTTTGTGTTTGTCTGGAGCAGAAGTTTAATAGTGTGTCTAAAATAGACACGGGGATGTACCGCTGTGAGTCCTCCAACAGTGCGGGGGCGCCCAAGAGTTGTGTTGCCCAACAGCTAAAGGTCGTTGACTGTAAGTGCTCCTGTTAAAACTGCGCTTGTTGATGTTTGTATTGTGCCCTACTCATGTGATATCATATAAATAACTATATTTATATATAATATAATATAATTTTTAATTGTATCTCTAATGACACCATTGTTTTGTTTCTTCCAGATCCTGTCAACACGACTGTTTTAATTGTCTCTGCTGCAGCTTTTTCAGCACTCGTCCTGTTCTGTTGCATCTGCCTATGTGTGTGTCGACGCCAAAGCTGCTGTAGAAGTGAGTACCCAATATCCTATGGTTGCTTGTATTTCTAGTTCACATACTGTAGTTTGTAGTTCGCCTCCTTGTGGTTTGTCCTGATCGGTTATCAGGCTTTAATTTTATAAAAGCTACTGTATAAAGGTTCAATTTGTGATTGATGTGATGGTAAATATCAAGGGTAAGTATTAATATAAAATAATATTCAAATATTTTTGTGAAAACGTTGAACAATTTATGGAATTATATGGAATATCACATTTGATTTGATTTACTTTTGCTGACCTCTTGTCTCTCCTCCTGTTTTGTCTTTGAACAGAAGAGAAAGACCCTAAAAGGTGAGCCTCTCACTTTTCCTCCCGACTCTTCTTCTGCCTGTAACGTTTGTCTGTCGTAGTCGGCTGAGGCTGAACTGCTGCTCTTTTGTCTTTTAGCATCAAGTGCTACAACCCTGCACCCCCTCCTCCTCCTCCCACCCGTAACGTGAGTGATCAAAGGGAGTGTTATCATGTTGGGGCATGTTTTGCTCCCTGTGATGAATTTTGGGTTTGCCATTACATGTTGTTGATACATTGCTGATAACAGTTCTTCTCTGCAAATTAAAGGAACCGGCTGATTGTACGACTCTCTCTTTTCTCTGCAGATCAAACACTACAAACAAACTCAGTCCTTCATGATCTGAGGGAGGAAGGAAGGTCACTCTGAACTTACCCGCCCAAAGATCTCCATTGTACACTAAAGCTGTGTTTTCGCCTCATTGGACAAGAAACTTTCAAGTACTAGGAAACATGTTCACACAGCAGTGGATGTCTATTTGTCCCGTGTTTTGCAATTCACATTTTTAACACATGGGGCAGTGGAATTAAATAGTTAAACATTAGAATTATTGCGATTGCTTCTTTGACCCCAGAATGGTCCCAGAAGGAAGGGACGATCAGGGTGGAGAGCAGAGGAGCATTTGTTCTGCCTTTCATGCTTTGACGAGCAAAGAAAAATTATATGCAATAAATAAATAATAGTTTTCTGACCAATTAAGTGAAATTTTCCACAGCACACCTGACGATCTCTCATGGGTGTGCCACAGCAGTGGTTGGGAATCACTGCTCTAGTGTGTGACTATGGTGCCACCAACTCAACTCTACACCTCTCTTAACATTACCCCCCACCCCCCAAAAACAAACAAACAAACAAACAAAAACAAACAAATAATGCACTTGAGTCCAAACACTTCCTTGTTAATTATATATCATCGCAATAATTCTGTAAGAAATATTTAATTTTTCTTTTTTTTTTACACATTTATATGCGTTTAGTAGATGCTTTTATCCAAAGCGACTTACAAGTGGGGAAGTTGTTGTTTAACACTTCCTCTGGACTATCAAAATATATCCAAGGAGTTTAAAGATCCGACCAGAGAAATGATTGACTGCAATGTGAGCTCCACCTGTATTGATAGCATCCTATCAATCTGGTTAGCCACCTAACCAGCATCCTAAAGCCAGTTAGGTCGCTAACCATACCTTAAGATGTCAAACCAAAGATCTTCATAACACACTTGCTGCCTCCAAAGGAAGAGATTTTTAAACCTCACCTTCACATTGCTGTAAATGAACTATCAACTATCTATAAATGTTGTAATATATTTCCTCATATTCCTCTTTGTGTGCACTGACATGTGGTTGTTTAGTTAATTTTTCACTTTTGTTTCTCATGTTATAAAGGCACGCTGTTGTCACTATACACAATCATTATGGTAAAGAATGTAAATTTACTGCATCACCAATAAATGTCTTTTCATATACAGTAGATATAGTAGACTGTTTTGAGGTAGAGTTTTTGTTCCATTGTTGCTATATATTTTTTTAGACCTGTGTGTGTGTTTGTCATGGTTTATATCATCATGTTATGTTTTTTGTGTTGTATTATTTGATATGTTTGTATGACGTGAACTGAGTGAACAGGTGTCTGCACACACTGAAAGATGCTTTAAAGACTTTTAAACATATTTGTTGCTGAGTCTGTTTCATAATAATAATAAAAACATATGGAAAACTGTGTGTATTTCCTTTTCCCCTTTTTTACCGTCACGTGAGTTAAAGGAAAAAAACTGACAAAATCATAGTTGGCCTGAGTGGCGCTGTAGGGGCTCGGGGGTGATTAAAAGACATAAAAAGTGCCCACTGATTGGTCCAGGTTTGGCGGCAGGAAGTGTTTTGTTTTTGACGGAAGGCTGGCTCTATATTTGGAGTTCTTGGCTCAACTTTGCACCTTTTGTTGGTAAAAAAAATAATTAAACGTAGGGGCATGTCCAAATTCATATTATGGGATAAGTTCACGGGGGACCGAGCAAAAAAATCCCGCCGAAGGCCACGGCGCGTCATCATTTAAGAACCAAACACCTCTGAGTTCTCCACAAGGTATGTATAAAAAACACATCTAGCTATGTAAATTAATTAATGCTCTGTATTCAGGTTTCAGTCGTTTAAAATTTTTTTTTAACTGTTTACGAGATGAAAGTATAAAGTCGTCATAACTAAAAGTAAGGGAACATTTTTTTTGTCTTTATTTTAACGCAGCAGCGCTTTGCAGTTGCATCTATATGTCCACTAGATGGCATTACAACACTGACTGCATTTATGTTTTCGGCTTTAAGCCCAGCCAAGTGTGAAACACCCACACCATAGCTTCTGCAAGACACCAGCCTTTGTCTATTATTTGTCTTTGAACAGAAGCACCATTGTCTTCCTCCTCTTCTTTGTGCTCTTCCCACTTCTTCTTCTTCTTCGTATTGTTAAATCCATAAATCAGACGTCCTGGAAAGCACTAGTTCTTAACATCTTCCTTTCCTTGTCTGCTTTTCAAGGGATGCGATAAATTAACTGTATAAATCTTTAAATCCCTTTAGCGGCGGTCGTGATCCTGTTTGTGCCAAGAGCTACAATGCAGACAGCGTGATTGCAGAGCACAAGAGATCTATTCTTGAACGTCTTTATAACCTTCTGTGATAATCACACAAAGTGTGTCCTATTGATCTGATGATGAGTCTGCTTGTAAGCTCCAGACGTCTCACATCAGTCCTTGTACCTGAAAGGGAGTTAATCTGATTACTCTATCTGCATGCACCTTGACAGAAAGTTCGGTCACTTTGCAGGGTAACGTTTGCATTTTTTTTGTTAATGTCCTTGTTATTTTTTTTAGAATTATTTGTGCAAAATAATAAAAAAAATTAAGTCATTTTTTCTTTCAAATAATCAACACTTAATGTGTAAAGCCCTCCAACTAAACACAACAGTACTGAAATCACTTTTATAAATACTGTAGAAAGACGAGTCCTTGATTACAGGAGAAAATAATCAGGTTTATAAACAAACACACAGTGGTAGAGTTCCATCCTCAGGTGAAGGATGATATTCAGTCCTGGTGTACATGAAGAGATTAGAGTTGCTAGTAATGTTATCAGTACCTGCTGTCAGAAATGTCCAGAGTAATAAAACTCCTCACCTCCTGTTTACTTTGTTCTGATGCAGACCCTGAAGCTCCTTTTTTATAAAACTCCTCTGACAGCACAGTAAATACCGAACCATCCTGACACCATGAAGGACTTTCCCTTCAGTGCGTTGTAAATGAATCAGTGCAAACAGACCGTCATGCAGTACAATCACTCGACAGCCACAGTTCTTGTTTGTATTTTACTGCAGTAACAACAACAAAGAGACAGAGCATTGTGTTTGTCCAAAAAAAAGAAAAGAAAAGAAAAGAAAAGAAAAGAAAAGAAAAGAAAAGAAAAGAAAAGCCACTTGGCTAAAGTCTCATTTTGGCTAAAGTCTCATTTAAAATAAACATTTTTAAGTCATGGTCCACAATGTTATGAGTATCTGATGTAGATTTTTACTGCTTTTAAAAGGTCTTTTGTGACTGGAAACTGAGGATTGTGTCACTTTGTAATCCTAAACCTAGTCCTAAACCAGGTTCAAACCCTCAGAGAGCACTTTGAAGTTTAAGGCCCTGGACACCATGTCCTGAAAGGATCAAAAATACCTGCACCACAATGGTTTTGGAACCAAATTGTATCCTCAGAAGGTGCACGTACGCACTCGCACACCGGCGGCAGGTTAAAGCTGCTGCTCAACCGCGTGCTTCGTGCTTTTTAAAAAAAAATTTGTGGTTTTCCTTTGAACATCTTAACAGGCTTTCTTTATGGATCCTCACCATGGATTACACCCCCAGGAGGCTGTTACATCATATTTTGTAAAAGTGTGTGTGTTGCTGCAGTAGAAAATTTATCCGTGTGTGTTAGGAAAGATGGAGAGAAAGAAAATGAAGAGTGGTGAAAGGAGAGGCGGTGACTGTCAAATGAAGTCTGCCAGAATGACTTCATTTTATTTGGAATGTAAATGAAGCCCCTGACCAGGCTTTCCCTTCGACATGTTACCGTCTGGTTTGACCGCGACCAAAATCTGCTCTGTACCTGAGGCCAGCCATTACCATAGTTCACCCATTCCCCCAAACTCCTGTTGTGTACCAAAGATATAGTATGGAGTAAACAGGTCAGACAACAACAGCTTCTTTAACCCTACCGTTGTCCTTCTCATTTTGTACACAACCAGCGTCCTCGCTACAGGTTTGCATCTTGTTCTAGAATCAGAGTACGAGGAAAAGTTGGCACAAGCCGTGCAGTACAGGAGCACGCACACAGGGTCAAGAAATCTTTTCTACAGCTTGCTTCAACTGAGGTGTGTGTTTGTCTACATTCAGTAATGTAAAGAATTAGAGATAAACAGGACAAATGGTCTTGAAAGCATTTCTATTAGAGGGTTTTTGAACAAGTTTGAACCTCTTTATTTGTCCTTGTCGGCATGGTTTTATTAGTAGAGTTGGACTACAGGTCTGTGAGCTAAGCTTTATTTAAAACTGGCAGAAACACAACACATCTCTGAACAGGTGGCACAACAGCACATGCTAAAGCACAAAGACAGATGACTTTTCCCTTATTAACTCTCAGCTATTTTTCTGTGCTTAATAAACCGCATCCGTGGCTTTTTAGAAAAACATATCCATGAATTATGGGTTGGCTGTTTTTTTTTTTTTTTACCTTCCCCTATTTGACCCTCAGCATCAGCAGCTTCTGGGTTATGCAAACCTTGCATCATGTTCTTACCGTTGTTGTCTAGCCTCTAATGGGACAAACCCCCCCCAAAAACCCAGACTGGAGCAGAGATTACATAGTTCTTTTCCTGCTGTAGCTGTAAAATGAATTCCAACCTTTAATCATTTAAACCGTACCAGACACCTACGCTTCTTGTTGCATTAAATCTTTATACTGGGAATGATGCACAACAGTGAAGGTGCAGGATGGTTTTCTTTTCAGCCTTGTCAATTTTTCAGCATTTTCAATATTTATTCACATTTTTAGAAAATGTATTTTTGAAATCTTTGGATACATTTTTTTGACTTCAAGCACTGAAGATTTAATTTTTAAAAAGCATCAAAACAATTCATGCTACAGGAATGATAGCCGTATGCTAATGTTTGACCGCTACAGCGATTGTCTGATATTGTAAACAAATATTGTCTCTTTACTCTCATTTTAGTAGGAACTTCCATCAAAATTAGGACATGATTGTCAAAAAAAATCTATAAACTCGCATATAATTATAAGTGTAAACTAAAGAATCTGTTAATTGGCCACTAGGAGTTTATAGTGGTGGATTTGTCGACACAGATGCTGCCCTTTACCTGTATTTTTACCTGTAATTTGCATGTAGCCGAATGATTAATGGTAGAATAAAGTCAAAACGTGGGAATAAAGCAAACCAAATGAACCCACTGTCATTTATTTTATTATTATGGCTCCCCCTGCAGGGCAGAAACAGGAGCTACATAATATTCCTGCTTATTAATTTTTTCTTATATAATCCCTGCATATTCTCACACTAAAAAGTCAAGGGTTTTGTATCAGACACTAACCCCCTTTTTATTTGTGTGTTTATTTATTTTATTTTAATTATGATTCCAGGACAACAGGACATGAGCTATGTTACCAGTGTAGCCTGTGCCAAAAGACCTTATGGTTCATTTACTGTATATTATCCCTTCAACCTAATGGCTGCTTTTGGTCCTGGATTAGCATTTGCAATATCCTTCCAGACTTGAGGATACTACTCATTTCTGAAAGATGGTTTGGATGGTACACTTGATAAAATTACCCTGGAAATGATCAAAATGTCCAGAAAACATATTGCACGGAGGCAGAAAAGGCTGTTAAAAAGGTTAATTTTCCAGTCAGACACACACGCGCACGCACACACACAACACTCTCTTGGCCCCCTGCACAAGCAATTAGTCAAGCCTATTACTCCTACATCATCTCTGGCTATTTAAGTACTCACATAAAAACAGTGTAGGCAGACACACAGCTGAAACATAAGAGACACAGTGTGTGTGTGTGTATGTGTGTGTGTGTGTGTGTGTGTATAACAAGGAATGGGAAAGCTGAAATTACTTTTGCTCTGAATGCCAGGTATAGGTTGGTGGATAAAAGCTTAGAAAAATCTTCAAAGAAACCAATTTGTTTAACAAAGCTGGTGAACAGCTGTGACTTTCATCAGAAGCCAAATAACAAACTGAAATTCCTCGTAGCTCTCAGAAAATAATTTTATAACTCTCACCGACAGCTGAAATGACTGTACAATTTAATTAGAATTTATCCAGAGGTGATGAAAGAAATGAGCTCCACTCTGGCATTTTACCCAAATGTTCAAAGGCTTCTTTTTCTACCCAGGCTATATACGTCTATCTATCTATCTATCTACCCTCCTATCTATCCATCTATCCATCTATCCATCCACCCATCCATCCATCCAACCATCCAACCAACTATATATACTGTATATATATATATATGTATGTATGTTGTTATGTGTGTTAGGGCTGGGCATTTTTAACACGTTATTCTTGCGTTAACACGTTCATTATCGTTGACTGTTTTATCATGTGTTAACGCAGTTTTTGAAAAAACATTCTTCAGTTTATTATTGTTAACGTCCGGTGCTCACTAGCCTTTCATCTGATGTCAGGTCCGCTTTGTTTCTTCTTGTCACGCAGCCACTCACCGGCTCGTGTCCTCCGTCTTCTTCTTCTCCTCAGAACTCAATGCAAAAGGCAATAATTTTGAAAATAAAAATGTAAATACCAAAAGTTTGGTCATAGCTCAGTTTTAAACATTTTCCAAGCAATAAAGATTATTTTTAAAGATAAAAACTAAAAGTTAATTCGGTGACAACTAATAAATGATTGCTAACGACAAACCTAAAAATATGTAGCTCCAATAAGGTCAATGTTAGCAACATTACCTTGAGGATAAACATGAATCGTTGCAGTTGTTGATTTCTCTCATGTCAGGTTCATTTGCTAATGCATGGATTTTGGACATTCTTTTTTAATCTCATGTATAAATAAATTTAATGATATACGTATTTGCATAAACATAAAGTTCTAGAGATTTTTTTGACAAAATTGTTCAGACATGTTCATTGGTGTGTGTGTGATTCACTGACCGTCTGAAGCTCAGATACTCTGCTGCAGTGTTTGATCAGCCTGTTTAACATTCAAGAGGAATCCTCGGCACTCAAGTACCCTCACTATTATGCTTTTAAATCATCCCCTACACAGGAACAGAGGAGTGGGGAAAAAACTGGAGGGAGAGGTTGAGAGGAAAACGGATGGAGACACAGAGGGATCCTTATGGTAAGAATGAAATTTCATTGGACAAAAGCCTGTTATTGAATTCCTGTCATGATTCTATCCAGTCCCCATGACGCCTTTAAAGTCTTTCAAAATCCCACTGCCCCCCGCTGATTCCAGCGCCTAGAAGCCACTGCGTCATGCCACCCCTCTCTGAATGCTACTTAACGTCTCGGTATCGGATTAAACTTCCTGTCCCTTGAGCGTTAGCTTAGGAAACACCACAATACGTCTAATCAGTATGTGTCACGCTCACTGACAAACACTCAGAGTTAGCCTTTATCTGCGGAACAGCTGAGGGAAGACATACCATGCTTTAAGGAAAGGACACAAGGCTAGAGTAGATAAATGCTAAGCTCATTGCTAATCAACAGGCAGCGGCCACAGCGGGAGCCATGATGAGGCCTGATTGTGCTGTTGTGTTTTGAGCACGTTGAAAGCTCATCAGTAACCCTCACCACTCTGCTCTGTAACACACAGCAGTGCAGCAGGACGTCGGCATCAACATCAACATCAACATCAGCAACAATGAATATTTATACCCGCCATGAACAAGGTGAGAGAAAACAATTCATTCCTGGTCGAAAACAAACAGGAGATTTCAGTTCCCAAACAGGGCAATCATGTTGGAATGACACACCAACCACAGAGAGGGAACAGTTCTACTTGTGTGCTCATGCTAGAGTGAGTGTGGTGGTAACAATTTCCTGGGTAAAGGAATGTGGTTGGGTGTAGGCCTGGTGACTAACCTGTGGTGAAGGTTCAGTCATTCAGTCCACCTGGTTGTGGTGAGGCAAAGATCATGGATTTTACCTCATGGAAAATTTCCTGAAAAAGATCACGCCGTTACAACAACAAAACGTCAAATACTCCAACGTGTGGTTGCTTGGTAGAGACAGAGTTTCCAGCCTTTACTTTGCAACCAAATGTCATGTAAAAAAAAAAAAACCCAAAGGACAATAATATGTCATAAAACATATTGTTTTTTTTAAATCTTATAACAGATTTCACACATTTCAGCTGTTCTACAACAAATAGCTTCAAAAAGTCAAAGCTAGCACAGTACATACACAGTTTGTATTTAACAAATGGCATGTCAATAGGTAGAATTAGCTCAACAATACCTTCAAATTTGAATGGAACTTCAAACCACTCATAACAACACAAATAAAGCTAATTGCTATTTGGAGAAAAATGTAAATTTAAAAAAGCTAAAGTTTTACAAAGACCATAGTCAAATGATTGAAAGAAATAATAAAATATAAAGCTTAAAGTGTGTTTACAAATTTGTAACATAATGTAAGCAAAAATAAAATAGCATAATGAATGAAAAAAATAAGGAGCTTAATCTAACTCTGCACCTGTTTGAAGTTACAATATAATAAATATTCTTTTCCAAACTTCACCACTGTTCCTCAAAGGATCGTCAAAATGACCTCACAAAAATATAACAATCCAGAACAAATCCTCCAAAGTTTGGCTCTGGATTGTTGCTGCTTATCGGCAGATATTCTTCCTTCTGAAAGAATACCAAAGGGGCCATTAGGCATAAAAGATCATAAAAACCCTGTTGTTGTTTTACCCAGAACAAATGTGATATAAAGCTTTAGGCAAAAATAATTTCAAGTCAATTATGTTTAATGATTTAAATCTAAATGCTCCTTTGATGTCATTCTTGTGTTTAAGCTTCTTTAGTAGAACATGTTGTCAATGAATATAAACTACAGTCTACACTACCATATATATCAATTCTATGTATCAATATTTTAATACTGCATAGCAGCATCATGTTTAATTCTCTTTGTTCCTGGAAGTTGTTTTCACCTCAGTTTGCATTTCTGCAAGTGAGGATTGTACTTTCTTCTACTGTTGCCCTCAGAGATCTGCTGAAGGACAGCTTTGTTTTTCTGTGATGGAGTAATAGTCTGTGCAATTCTGCAGGGACTTGTTGGTCGCGGTCATACAGGACAACGCCACCTTCCAGGATTATGGGGTAACAAGTGGGAGCTGCCGAGCAGCAGCCACGCAGAACTGCAGCAAACATGGTGGAGGCCGAGTTTATCCTCTCTGAGTCCATCCTCAGACATCAGACCCTTTCTCCATGAACTCAGACTGAGGTGAACAGACACACAAACAAGCACATTTCTCCTCCCCGGCTTATTAAAGCCCCTGACTCCACGGGAATCAGCTCTTTCATGTGGAAAAGATTCAAGCATTTACTTCCATTCTGCCCTCTTTTCTGTATTCCGTACACACCAAATCCTATTCTCTCTTCTTTGCTGCTTCCTATCTCAGAGTCTGGCTTCCCACAGACTTATTCTGGCATCAGTGACTGACTTTTTTTCCTGCCTCTTTTTTCTCCGCTCTGATTAACTGAGAGGGTGTTTTTTCACAGCAGGCCTTATTTGATGTGCTCGCTCCGATTGGAACATGTTAAAAATATCATCCTCCCTCTCTTCTGTAGCGTTGCTTTTACACTGCAGCCCCCTGCCTGCTGTCTTTTCTCTTTATCTGTGTCCACCTCTCACACTGTGTTTCCCCTGCTTTAATATTTCAAATTTCTCTTCCTTGTTGAATTCCTTTTGTCCCTTCCTCCCCGTGAGATTCAAAGGCTTTCTCTTTGAATGGCTTTCCATCCAATTCCCTGCGTTCTTGTTTTAATTATGATGTTCTTTTTTTTCTTCCTGCTGCTCCTGTCTCTCGCCTCTACCACATCTGTTCATTCCTCACTGTGACCTTGGCAAAAACAACTGCGACAGAGATGCTGACAGATTCAATGCACAGTTGAAAATAAGAACAGAAGATGAAAAAGAGTTTTTATAGAAACATAAAGGCACTGCAGTGAGACACACACTGTAGCAGGTCAGTACGGAACACAAACACAAAGTGTAAAGCATTTCTACAGCCCTTAAGACATTTGACTGGATACCGTGGTTTTTTTAATCTATTTTTTTTTGGCTGTAAAAATGTGGATTGTCGTTTTGAAATTGAGATGAGCGTATTTGCAAACGACCGCTGGTAGCTTTGTTTACCGAGACGAGATTGTACACCGCAGACTACTGGCTAATACAATGCATACTTGGTGTAGTAATAGATAATTGAGCATGCTATTGTGTTCCTCACACTGATTGGCTCAGCATCGACCCTTGTCCGTCGACCACTCACTCGTTCACTTCGCTACCAAATTCAATTATATCAAAAGATATTTAAGAAGAAACACATTTGTGTTTATATATTCACAATAAAGAAAAGGCATTTTCAATAATGTGAATAGATATAGTTTTCCACGACACATTCTTCCCAAGCTCCGTAAAACCATTTTACTTTTTTTTTAATGTGTTTTGCATTTCCAGGCCATTTGTTCCGTGATGTGCAACAAACGGTTCTGCTGTTTTTCCTCATTCCTGACTTTGCTAAAGTTTTTATTTTCTTCTTCGACATTCATTTTTGTCAGAACTTTTAATTCAAGAGTAATATCAAAATATCACACTTTCCAAAATCACCCTCTGTTGTATACAACATTGGTATTTGTAGTTATTATGTGTACCTAATTTATCCATACTAGAAATAAGGCATCTGATTGTTTTGGCGAGGGCGGTGTTGGACCCACTGATGGGCCCCGATCTGGTCTCCGGGTGTTTGACGTAAACACAGTTTTCAGTTTGCTGTGCCTGGTGGTAGGCCTTCAGCCCTCCATTAGATATAGCTGAAGAGAGGATCAGCAGCCCTTGAGCAGAGCATTTGGCCCAGTGCTGTGATGTATCAGTAAGATTTGGTGCCTCTCCTCCTCCTGTCTCCTATGCCTCTGCTGCTGATTGCTAAGCCAGACTTATGATTCCTGTGCAGCAGAAATCCCTTCAACTGAGGACAGTGTTATAACTGCGTGTTATGTCTACAAACCACATTACAGCAGTTGGGGAGCAGGAAAATTAATGTTTGCCCAGAGGAATTACATTTCACCCCGATCACTATACCTGCTATTCATCCACCGCTAAGGAAAAGTAATGAATCTGGCACTGGATTACTGGCAAATGTGATCAGTCAGACGATGTATAACCTGTGAGCTTTTGATGAGGCGACACCTCCGTCGCTGCTGGTGATGCATTTCATTCAAAAATCATCAGCTGCAGCACAAACAATGTAGATGGAATTTTATCAAAGCTCAACAGGATATGATTCTTCTCGGTAAAAAAAAAAAAATATATATATATATATATATATATATATATATATATAAAGAGGCAGGGCAGGTAATGTACAGTGTACTGTTGTGTCACTACAGGCAATAAAAGGAACTGTTGTTCCTCAGTGCAGGTGTGCTGTGAAGGACAGAGCTGAAACCACAATGAAAGGGATGGAAGTGAAAAGAGGCTGGTGACGGAGAGAAAAGGCTGTTGTTGTAACAAAGTCCAGCCTGCAGTCCTGTCGGTGGCTCAGGCTGTGTAGCTAAATGCTAACTGCTGTGTGCTTTTCCAAATGGAGCCTCTAGTCTGGGATAAAGGCGATACTTAGATGCGAATGTTGACTGGAAAACAGCGTTGGGCATATTTTTTTATGAGCAGAAAGATTGCCTATTATTCAGTAGGGCTTTATTAGTGAGTGATTCTCAATAAATTAAAACCAGGCCAAAACATTTAGCTGGGCATTTTTACGACGCATGAATCTTTTAAAACTATAATTATGGCAACAGTATTACTTAGACTTTATCATTTCTATTTTTTTATCTTTGTAACTTTATATACTAATTCTTCATTTGTATAATATTATCCTTCCACCTCCATCCCTGACTACACACTTTGTTCATTTGTGATTAACAGATACCTAAGATGCTGTTGGTCAGCAGTTCCTCTGTCCATCTGAGCGAAAGGGATCAGTTTCTTGGTTTGATTAATGATGCTAGCAGTCCTGTTCAACTAGTTAAATATGTTGTTCCAATAATATTTGCATGCACGGTGAGAGACAGAAACTGGAGGAAATAATAAAAAAAGGTCAGTACACAGTACACACCGAGACATCACAGAGTACTACGATTGTGGATGCAGTTCAGTAACTAGTAACACGGCAGAGTGCATGAGCATTTAACAACAATGACCTACTAATAACCTGCAGAGACACAGAAGAACTGACCAACCTTCAGTGCAGTAAGAAAAGTCAGACAGGTGACCCTGAGTTTTAAAAGACAGCTGGGATTCTTTACATCGCAGTACCGCTATCTAACGTCTATTTCCAGAAATCTAAATATTTGTTTCCCTCAAGGGAAAAGAGAAAATGACACAAGTTGTACACATTACAGCACATATCTATTGACGTCTTCATAAGAACAAAACAAATACATTTGTGTGATTGCGATGTTTATTTTATTTTCAGAAAATATCTGCCTTCTCCGCTCTTAAATACCACTGAAGGAATAATCTGACCTGCTGGTATTTGCACATACATATTTATACAGGAAAGGTCAATCCTCGGATCACAGTAAATGTCATATTTGTTAATTTAATTACGAATTGATTCTCTGTGTGTTTGACATTAGCACTGAACCTTGTCCTGCAGTAACTTCTCTCTCCACTCTCCATCTCTAACTCACTTCTTATGTTTTCTAATGACATCTTTGGTTCATAAACGTTCCGTTTCCATCTGGACCTTTTACACTTCGGCATCGCACATCCTATTATCTCACATACTTAATGAGCTACAACCTTTTTCCACCAAGATTTATAGCAGCTTGAGTTTAACCTCTGCTTGACTCCCGGCTTTCCTCTTTAACCTTTCCGTTCCTGCTTGTCTCCGACTTCCTGTTCACTGTCCTGTACATCAGCTTTTAATGTAGGTCAGCCTTCAACTAGTTATTAGTGTCTTTGAGAGTTGCAAAAGAGTGCTGTGCATGGTAATGATGACCGGAATCAATACACCTAACACACGTTTAGAAACAGTTTTCGCTCTTGAGAAAATGTTTAATCTTACTGGCTCCATTTGCTCTTAGTTATTTACAAACTTATAAAATATTTTTAAATCAATATTTCCTTCTGTTGACCATAAAAGCTTCAATGTATTTAGGAAATCTTTGAAAATGTTCTACAATATTTCATGGTTTACTTTGGACAATCTTCAAGACTGCATTTTGCTATTTTTTAGCCTCTTTCTTGACTAACTACGAGTCTAATCCTGGAACATTGTCTTCTACCGTTATGCATTAGCTATGATTGTATCTAACTGTGGGCAGGCCCTAAGGTACCTTTGGCCAATTAGCGATCTGTTGGGTCTACAAGCAGCCTTTTGGCTATAATTAAGCTTTTTTTTTCTATCTGAACTAATTTTGAGCTAGTAGCCATTTAGCTTTTTCTACACACCTTTTCTGTTGACTTTTTTTTTGGCTAATTTTAGCTTCATCCTCACTTAGCTATTTTACCTTTATTTCTCTGAACTTGTTCCTGACAAAATGAGATCTTGCTGTTTCTATTGCACCAAATAGCCTTTTAGCACGCAACATCAAAATATTAACAATTATATTATATATAAATATAACATTAATAGTCTGGTGGTGTTTGTTCAGATGTTTCTGGGCAACCATTTAGTGGCAGATTCTTTCTGTCTCTCCTTTAAAGCTGCCCGTTTGAGTGGATGTTTTCCTCTCGACCATCTCTTGTCTTGTTGCCCGCGAGAAAAGACTTCTTTTTAGCTGTGTTTGCTTACAGTTGCATCACACGCAGGCGAAACTACGGAAAAACAAGAAAATGAAAAGCAGCGAATCTTTCACTGCTTTGATGGTTTATTTATCTAAAGCATGAATCTAATTCTGGCGTTCTTACATTAATAAACCACTGCTGCAGGGCGCATGGGTTGTTTTTGTTGTTGGAGAATTGGGCTTACTGCTGGAGTTAACATTCTCAGAAATCTTTATGCCTCTGATGTCAGACAACCGGTGATCCTTGTGGACATACTGTAAAAAAACAGAGGTCAAAGGTAACAAAGGAAGGCGGACAAGGTCACAGGAAACCCAGAGGTACAGAACAGTCCTTTGAAGGAAGTTTGTCTCCTGTGAGTTGAAGTCATTTATCACTTTGTTCCACTGCAGAGAGAATCAAACATTCTTCTTTTCCTACTCTCTCCATCTGTCATA